TAATGTCATGAGGTAGTAATATTTTGTTTTAATGTGTGTGTGTATGTGTATAAAAAATATATATACATGCATTGTATGAGCATGCACACATTATGAGCAAAGCTTTGTTATTATTATGTTTCAGTTTGTATTGACTATGACTATGGAAAATGATTTGCTTCTATGGTATGTACGAAAAGGAATTGGGAGTTTCGAGAAATAAATTCAAAGAATACACACAATTATGACAAGTGTCTGGCATAGGTGGGGTAGGGGGAGGGGGCTGGGCGGGACAACTTTCCACGCCCATATTTCTTGAAAATCATAGAAGAAGTACTATCAATTTTACTCAAAACTAATAATCCTTTGAACTTTCTGGACTTCTTAATACCCAGTCACTATCGTTCACTTAATATAGGCCTACCGAGATACTGGTTCAAATAAGGGGAAAGAATTATCCCCCCCCCCCAAAAAAAAAACATTTTGAGCTCGAAAAGACTATTCTACACACTACATGTCTCAATTAAATTGATATCAACTTTAAGGTATTTTCATTATCCATCATATATGACACCAAACCCATAGTGATTAGAGGTTTTACACACCAAACACATTCTCAACGCACTAATACACCTATAATGCATACAATTAACACACATATGGGCAAAATTATTGTTTTTGTGGAAGTCAAGTATTCATTGGTTATTTTAACTTTTCACTGAAAAGAGATATAAGCTTCCCCTATGCACAATATATTTTCCTTGTACATGGAAAAATTCTTGAAAAGTAAGAATAAAGACACCTCTCTGATTTTGTCTATGGAAAATAACGTGTTTGGATAAACTTAAAATGAAATTAAAATTTTGGGGAAAAAAAATAAACTAAAATCAAGTTTCTTATAATGAATTCAAATTGCGATGTTAATTCAACCAGTTCCATTAAAATTGGTATCAAAATGTATATAATTAAAGTTTCTAGTAAACTCATGGTGGTTTAAATCTTCCTTATAATACCTTTTACAAAATACTTTTTTTCGTCAAAATTGTGTGTATTATGATAAAAAAATCTTTCGAATAAATAAGGCGTGGTTAGTTTGTGCGGTAGCGGCAAGCAAACCCCTCTCTTCTCACTTACATTGGCTCTTATACAATTTTATCGAGATAGAAAACATGGCATGCATGAGAAAAGAATTAAACCAAACTCAACTTACTTGATCTACAGATCAGCAGTGAAAGTGACTCCTCGACAAAGAGTTGGCGTCAATGTTGACTGCTGTGATCACGTAGTATATATATATTCCCATCGCTCTTTATCTCGTCCACTGATAAAGCACGGGAGCTTCCGGCGCTCTGCGGAGCTGTAGCGCGGAGTGCTATAGCGAGCTGGCCGGGTGTGGCAATTCTCGTCGGAAAAGTTAGTAAGGGAATAATTTTCCTGCGGGGGCATTGCCGAGGAGCGCAAAAAACAGTGTTATAAACTATAGCTGGCAAATGTTGTTTGTACAGCAATAAGTGTATTCAGGCATGTGAGACGAAATTCTTGAATTCCGCTTGGTAGTTGGTGGGTGGTTAATTTGAGTATCAAAAGGGGAGATGCATGAGAAGTATGTTGAAATTTCCATCGGGAAGTCCCCTTTTCGCAATTTCTGTTGCATTACCTCATCAAGCCGCTCAAGCCCCGAAACCCCTATCCATTATAAGGGGTCATTTTTCTCGAAAAAAGACAAATTTTTCACAATTTTCGGATGTTTTTCGGTGGCAATCAACCGAAACAATTTTGATGGTATTTTTGTTAAAAAAGGTATTCATGTTTAGGGATTTTTTGGGGAAAAGTTCCCAATAAGAGCAGACGTCCCGAGTACCCCCCCCCCCCCCGGGGGGGGGGGGGGGGCTGTTTCTGCTGGTCTGACTTAATCTTCGATTTCTTCTAATTTGATACTTCTGATTTCTTTCTTAGCTGGTATATTAAAATTATTATTAGTTTGCTTTTTATTTCAACAAAATCAAATTCTCCTTTTTCCTGATTTGTTAAAATTTCTTTGTTTTTACTTATTTTCATTGACTGACCAATATTCCCCACCTTTACCTTTCTTTCTCTCTCTATCTCTAGATCTCTGACTTTTTACTGAATCTCTCCTCTTCCCAATCACACCCCTCTCTTTCTCTCTGTTTCTCGTTTTGCATATTTCAAATCAATCTTCATTTCACTCATAATATTTCCCCGAAACTTTTCCCTATCCCGTGTGAGCTTTCGGATACTAAAAAAGTATTGAATGAAATTATGTTTGATGGAGAAAACAAAAGTGCTGTTTTATCGATCAATTACAATAACATTAAAATGTATATTTCGAGTAAGGGTTGAACATCAGTCTATTTTTGAGAGATATAAAAAAGGGGGAGAAAAAAGACACTAGCTGCGTATTGAACCCAATACGTTCCAGTTAAAAGACGATAACGAATCCGCAAGACTGCTGTGCCTCACTGAAAATCTCTAATTATTTTCAATACATAAACAAAAATTGTCATGTTTTCCTCATATTAACACTTTTATTCGTAGTTGATGGGATAAAGGACGTAAATTAGTAATTTAGTAATTGAACATATAAGATCAGTATTTTTATTTTTACGTAATTCAGAAAATCACTTAAAGAAAGATGATAAAAATCAAATTTTCCCATAATATTTTCTTAGGGAGGCCCCCCCCCCCTCCTCCTCCTCCAAGAAAAAAAAATCATTGGCAAGTCAATATTATGGAGTAAAACAAAAGAAGAAAACAATAGGATAAAGGAGTACGTGGGAATCGAACCCGTTATCTCCGCGTTGTGAACGATCACTTTTCCACAAGACCACACTAACTCATTGCTATACGCCTTTATTAGTAATAGATAACACTTCGTAATGTTAACAATTTACCCCCAAAATTTGATTTACCGATTTTACGTCTTTGGGATGCATGATCATTATTACTTTAATAGTCCGATGTTGTCAAGATTGTTAGTAAACACTTTCTTTTAGTTACTTATTGTGAAAGTGAGTTTCTAAAAGTATTTTTAATATTAAGTTTATTTCTTAGACTGCCGACATTAATTGTTTTGCCAATCGGGCACTGCGTAGCTCCCTGGCAATGCATAGAAAATGGTGTATTTAATTCAGTATGCGTAAACTCCTTAACATAGTATCATTGAATAGGGATGCTTCGTTATTAAATTCCGTTAAGCTGGCATCGGGAATATTGGAATAGTTACGTAACAAACTACTCAGATCTTTCTGACATAGCATCGATTAATAAATTGTAAAGAATACGACCCTCTCTTCCTCGGAAAGCCACGCATATCTTTGTAGTTTAATAAATGCACTTTCAATACACGAATAGGCCAAGCTGCAAAGTGAATTAGAGAAGATAATAATAACACGCGGGAGTTTCAATGCTTGAAAAAAGACAGTGATGAAAAGGGGCCTCACAAAGGGTTACTATATATAAGCAGAGTTACACTGACGCATTATCAAGAAAGTGAAGGATTTGTTTTAATGTTAATTGATTCATATTCAAATTTAACTCATTTTATTGGGCAAGTCCAAACTTATTTTTCCTCAAAAGTTTGATTTGATGTTTGTTTTTCCCCAGACTACTGAAAAGCATGTATGTAACTTGTAAGCTACCACGGGCCCTACGGCTTTTAGTCCTCTCCTAGGGACTCGGTAATGAGGATTAATGCCATGAGTGGATAAATGAATGTTACTCAAAGAATGTATGTAGTACTATGAAATTGTTTCTGATATATTTACACAATATTTCAAGTGAAAATGGTTTGGGCTCTAATAGGTGACTTCCAGTTATTAAGTACTTTTGCTGAACATTACTGAAATGATGTCATTTGATCGTCATTCTTTTAAAGATATTCCATGGAGCTCTAGTTTCTAGAAATGTAACAAAAACATATTTAAATAATATTATTCATTTCTTTTATACGGAAATGTGGAATTTGGATCTAGTCTTTGAAATTCCCTCTATATGAGAAAAAGATAAGAATGTGCATGTATCTGCAGCAGGTCTTTACCATTTTGTTTATTGCTAACTTAGGACTTGTTAAATGTATTTTAATTATTACCATATATGAAACTAGTATTAAACTAACTTACCAGTGTTTTATATTTCTTATGTTGAAATATTAGGGATGAAAAAGGCTGAAACTCTTATAGAAGTGAAAGAGGTTTGTCCCATTTTCAGGACAATTTAAAAAATATTTGTCAAGCAAGGAAAGTTTTAAATTATAATAATTAAACACCATTTTTTAATTTATATGCAACATTTACATTTGCCGGGGAGGGGGATCCATATTAAACCCTATAATGTCACCAAATATACTTGTTTTTTTTTCTACATGTAAATACTGTCCCTCCAGCATTGACTTTTACTTCCTAAACTCTTGTTTTCCTTGGATGAAGATATCTAACAGAATCTTTAAATCGGAGCTCTACCCAAAAGTCCAGCATTTCACAAAATGTAACTCCAGATAGAATAACCTAAATCAGACAGACAAAACACACTCACGGATGATTAGAATTAATTAAATTATTTTATGCAAGACTCATGATACCCAGACTCTGATGATAAAAAGCGGCAAGTGCAAAGAGGTTTCATGGCATATGGAAACTTTTATATCTGTCTTGTATGGTATCATTCTTTGTTCAATAAACATGTTCTACATATTTGGTATGAACAGATACAATGTCATAATTTCATTTTATAGATTTACATACATGTACTTTGTTGACCAACTGCAATTTTAAACCTGTGTGTGTGTTTCGTATCAGATGTATTGTGACCCCAATCCCCAAAACCGGTTATCACATTTATCACTAGTGGGAGTGCAAGCAGAACACATAAGAACATATTTGGGGACACTGTGTGACCATACCCAAGGTACTGTATGGCATGCTGTTTGTTTGTTTTGGTGCGTGTGCTTTTTTTTTGGGGGGGGGGGGGAGCACATGTTCATTTGCCCCCCTCCCCTTTTTTTTAGGAGGGTCTGCCACCGTATGTAAATGTAAACGTACATTATAAATCTATAAAATGGTGTGATGTTAATTACATGCATATTCATATGTATTAACAGGAAAATACAATTTACGAACACAATGACTTTGAGTAGATTATATGTACACTAACATTATTTACAGCATCTAGAATGTTTTCTGATGGTCATCTTATATTGGTCATCATATTTTGCAGCAATGATTTTCTAGCTTTTGTTTGTCTGCTCGAAGAAGAAGTACAGTCACTGTGAACTTGTTTTAAAGTTTAAACTAATCAGAGGTGATTAAAAACAAGATATTAAAATCACTATGGTACATATAAAGCGAATAGAATAAAATAATAATTTTCTGAGATACTAGATCTATATAAAAAAAAACATTGTGTTGCAATAAAGACATTTCATTTTTATAGAATTTACATTTTGAGACAGAAATACATACAAACTTGACGTAAACAAATATAATAGGCAAGAAATGCCAGGGAATAGAAGAACCATTAAACAAATGTTTCTGTTTATGCAGACTGTTAAATTACAAATTAATACAAGTGAGACATCCTGAACACATTATACATGCTCCTGTACATATATTGTACATAATTACAAACGAAGTAATAATGATTATTTTGGTGTTGGTACTCGTTAGGAATCTGGACTGATACGTTGTGGAATGCTCTCACAGTTATCTTAGGTTCTACTAATCAAAAGAAAGATTAACCATTTGAAGTAACTTTTGTATCGTTATGAATAACAGCTAGATGCAATAAAGCGGTCATTTTGAATAGCTACAAAATGACCGCTTACATTTCTAAAAGTCTAATTTTATGCTGAAGACTACAGAATGTTTGAAATATCTAGAGGCCCCGACTTGGGTTCTCATTGTACCGGATGAAGTGAAAAGTAGTCTATAAATACATGTATATTTTAATCAGGGATTATAAATGCATACCTGTGTTGTAGTTCCTTGATCTCAAGCATTCTATTTTGACATATATTACTCAATTGGTCAAGCAAGAGATATACATATTGAATATACATCTGATCTGGTTTGTTATTCTCAGTATTGACAATATATAAATTGACTCAGAACACATTTTTCTATCAAATAGATATGTACTGAAAGATGCTTTTTTTTAAAGCTATTAAATGCATATTATGTCTCTTTTACACATCTCTTTGTTATGACCATATCCTATTTACAAAAAGTATTTACACTAAATTAGACTAAATCATTCAAGCAGACAGATCACTGTGTTGCAAAACACCATGACGTTCTTCTTGAAATTGCAAGTCACTAGACAGCTTGGTTATAGATCATGATTAGATGAATAATTATATGCTATGTACAGTTTTGTTCCTTTGAAAAGTTCAAAATCACTTCGGGATGCATCAAAAGACAATACATTTCAAAACAATTGTATAAGTACCATTGAGATATTTATTGTCCTACCAGCTTTGTATGTCTGCTATGAAATTAGGCAAGGCCATTGAACTGATCCAGGAGACCAGAAGCTGATGGCCTCTCCTCTGGCTTCCGTTTGAAACATGGTTCAAGGATCTTCTGAACCCTAGGATCTACAGCTGTCAAAGACTCAGGTTTATCTATCTGGCCTGTTAAAATAAGTACCATCAGGGATATAGGATCCATCGAGTTTCCCCACAGGCGCTTCATGGAGTACAACTCCACTAATGTTCCTGCAACCGACCAGATGTCATGTTTGTTGGTGTGCCTGTAACCTGGTTTCTTTGGGCCAAGTGCCTCTGGGGGCATGAAACTTGGTGTGCCTTTCATGTTGACTGAGGATTGTGACATGTGGTTGCGGTTCTTGATGTGGGCCAGGCCCAAGTCACAGATGTAGGGACGAAGTGTTGCAGAGTCCACCTAACAGAATAAAAACCGATTTCATGATGGGTAAATTCCCTTAGATAAAATTGAACTTGTGATAAAATACAGGACATGTGATTGCAGAGATCGAATATATACAACATGAATATAAAGATATCTTCTATTCTTGTATAGCCTTGTATAGTATTGTAACGAAACCGGTTCCTGTCGATGTTCTTCCCAGCAGCTTCTCTTGTCAGGATGCCTTCTGCTGGTAGGTTTTCCTAGTCCGGTACCAATTTCACCGTGGATCCGTTTGGCAGAAATATACTGCCCCGTTGACGTTGACACCACTCTGATATATCTCCGCACCACCTCTCGACCACCGTCCGGTCGACACTACCAGACCGTCACAGGTCTGTACTTCACCACCGTCTTCTACCAACCGGTGTACCGTCGTATACCACCAGCCGACTAGGCCAGTCCGCTTCTGCACCTTTCAGACGTCTATACCAATCTGCTTGTGCATGCAACTCCAATTGGCCGCACCAGTTTGCTTCATGCACCTTCAAACAACCAGACCGTCTGACTTCGTACAGTCAGCTTACTCGACCATGCCACTGGCTCTGCTACACAGTAGTCCCTACCAGCCGTCTACTCCAGACCACGATCACTGGACCACCGAATGAATAACCCCTGGTATTGTCTAATACTAGAACGTAAAAGACCCAACAAACACAACCTAGATTCTTACCATGGATCAAAAGATCAGAAATCATTCTTAGGTTTCCTCATGGAAAGACATGCAAACGATCATATCAATCATTTCGTTGCACGCAAACTTTATTGGGCAAATATCCTAACATAGCCTGATTGCTTTACAGTGTAAATGTGCCCAGTGGGCGACGGCTATTATGTAGACTATGACAGGATCCTCATCGACACGTTAGACACTTGATTCATATACACATTTCTTAGACATTTGTTATTCTCGTTAAGTTTCCAAGAATTACATAAACATTGATATAACTTCACTATCCAATATCAGATTGAAACAAACTATATATCAAATGAAAGCACTAGTTTTAATCTATAAAACTAAACAGAAGAGAACAAGTAATTATTCATGGTAGAAAAGTAATTAGACTAAAACTGTCGAAAACATGCACGATCAAACATTCTTGAAATTGACACGTGACCATAGCATCGTGTATTTAACTTGAATTACGCCATCTACGCCGAAATAGCTATCTACGAAATGAAACTAATTTCGTGACAGTATGTATCACGCACACATATGAAAGAATGTTTCTATGTTTTCCATACATAGATTTAGCCTACCAGACATCATCGACACACAAAACATATCAAGACATACATGTAAATCATAGCAGACCAATTCAGCATGAATTTACGGTCACCCTTTTCAAGCCTAAGAAGAACAGTTGTGTGAGAAGTACATACTTTTTCTCCTTTCATGGAATTCAATACATCAATAAGCATTCTGAACTGTTAAAATGGCTGCATCCATGTACTTACGAGAACATTGGCAGGCTTAATATCAAGATGTAAGATATTATAGCCATGCATGAAGGTTACGGCTTGGAGAACCTCACGAGATATCCGAAGTTTTTTAGCCCAGTCTAGAGGAATCTGCAGGTTGATATGCAGTAAGAAAAAGGCTATTTAAACAATGTACAGAATGATATGCATATATTTGTACATGAGGACAATTGAAGATTTGATCTTGACATCGTCTATGTCTGAAAAATGATGGTTTTCTAAAGCTCTATTCTCATGACGTGGTAAACTATCTTTAACAAAATCCCTGCCGCAAAGATCATCCATTTCAGAAAAAATGAATGGCATTTTGAGCATAAAAGGATGTATGCAGCTGTGGCACATATACGCGTTTCTGTGATTTAACAGATTTGAAGAGCACTAAAGGCCGTGCAATTTCATTGCGCCAGTTTTTGAGAATTATCACGTCATATGTAAATAAGGCCGAACTTGCATTTACAACCAAGGAACGAAATGGTAAGCAGTCTACCAATCACCCACTTAAATGTTTCTCTTTCCTACTCACCCCCCCCCCCCTCCCCCTCATCCCATTCTCTCGTCTCCTCCTTCGCATCTTGCTTGGGAGGATCAAAACTGCACCTGGGCATCCTCTAACTCTCGCAATAATAATGATGCTCAAATTAACTTATCCACTTAATCAGGAGGAAGTTTGGTTTTCATTAAAAAACGCCCCCAGCTTTGTCACCAACCATACCCTGCATCTTCATAACAACCTTCATACCATTACCTTAATGTTACCCCTACCTGATTAAAATTGCTCCTTCAATCATCTTCCAGCCATTAGCCCATTGACCACTGCTTCCTACTTTAATTCCCCTCCCTTCAGCCCCACATTTTCCTGGAAACCCTTGATTCAATTACCTCAACGTCATCCCTATCAGGAAAGATGATGGTGTATAAACTTGGCCCTTCAATGAACTGCATTACCAGGAAGGCCTCTTTTCCCTGGTATCCTAAAGCCATCATCTGAACGATGTTAGGATGAGTTGCCCGTCTTAATGGAGAGAAGAGTATGGAGGAGAAAAAATGTTTGATGATCATTTCCCATCCCAAATATCTCCGGTCAACAAAGCTAAGTACTGAGTTAACATATACTCGCTACCCTACCAGGTTACGTATAGCATTTTAATATTAATATTCTGGGTTTATATTTATTTTAATACATCAATGGTTGTGTCCCAGCACTTGTAGATATGTCTCTATAACGGTCAGCGAATTGAAACTTGCTTCAAAATAATGGATGTTCATATTACTATTCCAGGGAAGCATAACAGACATACATAATGCTGACCGCAACCACCACGAATTTCTGATATTTCAAGATTTTAATACCTGGCTGGAGAGTAAGAAATTACATAAAATCCACCAGTGTTTTGATCAAATAGTAAAATGAAAAAATGAAATATTAACACTCTAGATTTCCCTTTTCGAACTTAAATAACGATTCTGTAAGGTCAATTTGTGCCATTTCGTTGGTGATGTCCCACATGACCCTTGATTTCTTGGAAAAAAATACTTGGACATGAGACTATCCTAGCAATACACGTGTGACGGGAATATATATGGGTACCTGTGTATAGCGACTTCCTTTTCTATTTCATCTTTTCTGCTACCCATGATGGAGATTTTTTTGACTGCCACTGGAGTCCCTCTCCAGGAGGCTCGATGGACCACTCCAAACTGCCCCTTCCCAACCACAGGACCCATGTCTAGGTCAGAGACTTCAATTTTGTTCACAAAATCAAAGACTGGAATGAAAATAAAATGAGAGAAATCTATATAATATATACACAATCTAATATATGAATCAGTATCAATAAACATAATCTAATCTGTTGTTTTATGTTTAATAGTAACATTTATTATACAGCAAATGTCACAATCACAGTAATGTCTATATGCGCTTCCAAAGGACTTTGGATATTATTTCCCTAGCTTTAGCCCTAGCAACCATAGCACCGTCCATTCAAGGGATAATTTCTACCACATTTGTTACATCTGGGACAAGTGTGGCAAATGTAGGTAAATGCCTTGCTAATGTATGTTCATGCTGCAGTAGGTATTCGAACCCCTTACCTTGTGGTTCAAAGTTTGGAGACTTATGCAGCACCAAGACTTAGCCACTACACTACAACACCTTTACTACATAGTGCCAAATAAAAGTGCATAATTGAATGCATAATCATAATGGCTTAATGGTGTTCAGCCATTATTACCCTGTTTATAGCCAAGCCATTTAAAGTAGCCAGCACTCAATTTTATCAGATATCCATTTACATCTAGGGTAGAAAGTGGCTTGGTGCTGGGCTGGCATTTGAACCTCAAATCTGTGAGATCTACAGTCTGGTTATTTATCCACAACACATTTACAACAGCTCTGCAGTGCTTATCACATTATGACACAACATCCTTACCAGGGATATTGGTGAATCTAGAAGGAAGAAGTCGCAGGAATTCATACAATCCACTGACATGACATATAGCAGCAGAAAAGCATGGAAAACGATCCAGATACTGGGCAACGACTATACAAAGGCGCAACGAAGATCTCAAGTCACTGCCAACCAAGTTGCCCACCAACTCCTAGTGAATGGCCGGGGAAACCCTGACCATCACCCCAGAAGAGCCAGACTCCCCAAGGTCCCAGACGCTCCAAGCTCTCAAGATGTCACAGGCTTCACTAGACCGTTCACCATGAACAACCTGCTTACTGCCATCAAAGCAATGAAAAACAACAAAGCTGCTGGACTTGATGACATCCTCTGCGAGCAGATCAAACAACTTAGACCAGGTGCCCTCAACTGGCTTCTCAAAATATTCAACGAATGTTTGGGCACCAACAACATCCCAAAGCTCTGGGGGATCCAAAGTTATTGCCCTGTTGAAGCCTGGCAAAGACGCAGCCAGTCCAAAGAGCTACAGGCTATCTCTTTACTGTGCCATACATATAAGCTGTTCGAGTGGCTTATCCTCAACCGCATCGCCCCATTCGTAGATGAACATCTCATTCCGGAACAAGCAGGGTTTAGGCCAGGACAAATCATGCACTGGCCAACTCCTAAATCTCACTCAGTTCATTGAGGATGGCTATGAGGGTAATCACCGGAACTGCTTTCGTTGCTGCTTACGACACCGTAAACCACAGGATCCTCACCTCGGAAGATCTTTGAGCTGACAAGGGATGTGAGACTGACTGGACTCATCCAGTCGTTGCTGTCCAACCGGCGATTTTTTGTGGTCCTAAACGGCAATCGCAGCAGATGGCGCAGACATAAATAAATGGCTTACCACAAGGAAGTGTGCTTGCACCACTGCTCTTTAACGTGTACACGAACAACCAAACGATCCATCCAAACACAATGAGCTTCCTCTACGCTGATGACCTCTGCATCGCCACCCAGAACCAGTCTTTTGTAAAGTTGGAGGAGATCCTCAGTGATGCATCCCATACGGACTCATCCCATACTACGCGACCAACCATCTGAGAGCTAACCCTGACAAAACTCAGATAAGTGCTTTCCACCTCAAGAGACGCCAACCATCAACTAAGGATTAGCTGGTATGGGAAAAGGCTAAAGCACACACACAACCCAGTCTACCTAGGCGTTACACAGGATCGCTCCCTTACCTACAGGAACCACATTACCAACACAAAAGCAAAAGTTGGAGCTTGCAACAGCATCCTCAAGAAGCTAGCCAACATCAACTGGGGGACTGATGCCAGAGCAATCCGGACAACTGCCCTTGCGCTTTGCTTCTCTGCTGCGGAGTATGCACCACCAGTATGGAGTAGGTCGGCCCATGCACCCAAGATTGACCCAGCTCTATATTCATCTTGCAGAGCAATCAGTGGCTGCCTCAGGCCAAGTAAAGTAGAGGACCTCTACCTGCTTTGCAGAATTGCCCCACCACACATCAGAAGGTTTTCTTGTCCCAGAAAGAAATGGACAAACAAGAAAACAATCCACTCCACCCACTCTTCCAACAACAGCCAGTGGGCAGGCGGCTAAAATCCAGATACAGCTTCCTGGACACTGTAGAGCTCCTTGATACCAGCCCTCACAACAAAAGGGTGACTTTGTGGTCCAATCACCTCCAGACCACTCAACATAAACTCTCCCTCAGCCCAAAGGAATCCCTTGCATCCGGCTACAGTCAGACTTGGCCTTCCTGGCTGAGCCTCAACCGCCTACGAACTGGTTACGGACGATGCAGAGTCCTAATGCAGAGGTGGGGTTTCGGAGACGAACAAACAGCATGTGAATGCGGCCAGGAAAAGGCAATGGAACACCTGCTAGTCTACCCACTCCTGCCAGAGCCATGCACCCAAGATGACCTGGAAGCCGCGAACTGCCGTGTCAGAGCCTGCGTGGAGCACTGGACCGGACTTGTGTAATGACTCGATAAGAAGCAGACACAACATCCTTCTGCTCTTTCAAAAGTGGTTTGAGAATTTCACTCTAGCTTTAGCTTTGGCCGCTTTTATTAGCGCAAAGTGCATTTCAAGCAAAGACATCAAATGACAAGACTCTTCCTACGGTACTCTGTTACTTCGCACTATGTACGTACTGCAAATATAAAATCCGGAAATCTTTTTTCATAGACATATTAAATACTTTAAACCTAATTCACTTTAGGATTTTCTAAAATATTTCTAGTGACAAACAAGAACAAGCAAGGATGGTATTCTTCCAGAAGTAAATGAAGCAGTTTTAGGGTAATGTGCATAGAAAGTACTGTATGTATAATTTCCTGGTCCAACCTGGTTGACCCCAGTACATGCAGGTCTACAAACTATTCCGTTTAAAGGCAACCCAACGCTTGCACTAAGTGTATTTGTATGAAAGCAGAAAAAGTATGTTATAAATCCTACTAATACTAAAAAGAACTTGACATGTAATACTTGTTTGGAACAAGTATAGGTGGGCTGGTCAACTAAAATTTGCGAGATAGTGCTTAAAAATTATTAAAAAACAATATCATGTAGATTCATGACGTGAACGAAATTCACCTTCTATAGGCATAACACGCAAATTGTGAAATTTCTGACATGAGGCCTTTAATCAAAATTTTCACTATAATGACGTCATCAAAATGAAAAATGGTGATGAATGAGCTTGTAGAGAATTGTCTTAGCTACAACAAATCGACATTTTGAAGAAAATCGATCAATATTTACAGAGATACAATCAATTTCCCATAACTATGCTGACTTCATAATATGCGAGTTTGAAGGCCATTATGATGATGTCAGAATATTTGTTATGGCCAAATGAGACATGAAATCATGTCTCCGACTCATACTCATACTCATATATCAAAATATAGAAAAAACATTGAGGGCCCCGGTGCATTCCAAAGAGCTATAATGGATTTTTGCATAGGCATATTTTTGCCCATGTTTTATGCTATGTATTACAAGAGCTCGCGCGCACGGAAATTTATGTTAAACGGTCGATCATTCCGTTATTATTAGTCATAAAGAGATAAACATGGTATCAATTTGTTTGTAAAAATATGTGGAATATCATAAAAGAAAAAAATGGCGATTCTATGTTGCGTAATGGTGTTACGCGCGAAAACGCGCGCGCGATTTTTTATAAAATGCTTAAAATAGCCTAAAACGTATGCAAAATGATTTGAGACTATTTTAAGCATTTAAAAGTTTTGCGCGCGCACTGACGCGCGGACGTACGCGTACGCGCGCGTTTATTGACCTGAAATTGACTGGACGGATATTGACCTTGATCATGATAAATATGAATGAGAAATAACTATTGGTTATGAAGATATGATCATGAGTTGATTTTCCGAAAATTTTACAAAATGGCGCCTAGATGACGTCATCAGTCATCGGTTGCCTGGCAAAACGTCGCGTAGCGCTACACTACTTTTTGCCGGGAAGTTAAACTGCGCGTTCAGGCTTTTTTGTTTTCAGCAAAAACGTAGTGTAGCAAAAGAAAGATATATTTGCAAATTAATTTAAGAACATAATAAATCAGGTAAATATCTTACTCTAAGAATAGTTTATGCTCCATAGAACATAGATCATTGTCATTTTTAGCACTTGAAGTAGGTGTTAAAACTTCAAAAGCGTTTTTCTCGGTTCCCCCTTTTTTTCCCAGCGCCCACGCTAAGTGACCTTTTACCGGGCAACCGGTAAAAGGATGCTCATACATATGTGTGCCAGCAGGCATTTGATTGAGCCATTTTCAAGTTATCTTGTCCACAATGAAAAAGTGGTTAGAAATAAGAAAAATAAATAAATAATAAAGGCAATTCTAACGAAATTATAAGGTGGTTTGTACGATAAACAGCCCACCTGATTATAAATATTTGAAATATGAGATCACTAACTGAGTGCAAATGTCATATTGGCAACCTGATCCCTGGATCTTGGAGTAGACACAGACAACTCTCCCGTTTGTAAAAAAAAAAATTAAAAACTCAATTATTTCTGTTTTTTTAAGTGCCTTCTCCCTTAGGGCACACTCAAAATATATTATTGATAGCATATAATTTCAGGTTCCCTAAAGGTAAAAGACTCTTCGTAGTCTATATTGTTGAAGATTTAAAAAAAAAGGTAATTTTGTGTGTTAGAACAAATTGGAAAGTTGGTCGCCTATACATCACAGAGACATTAAAGATTTAGCCAATTTGAATAGCCCATACATTAAGTTATTACAACTTTCAACATTCATATTCTTCTCAGTTTATTGTCCGATTTTATTCAAACTTTCACCAGTTTGCTTCTCTGATTTTTTGCTGCTTTCTTCTAGAGTAGTTTGCTATTAAGGTTGGATTTCTCTTTAATAACTACAATAATAATCTGAATATATGAAGCACAAATACATGCACTAAACATGTCTCCATAAGTACAGTACGTGAACTTTCTACAATTAAAACTGGAAGTTTTAAAGATTCATTCACATCCAAGACGGGAAACCGTAGAGGTCTTTGCTAAACGATTGGCAAGAGAGGATGAAAATTCAAGTAGCTTCATTCAACAATAGTACTACACAAACATGTATTCAGTTAAAAGTCTGTTATAAGATACACAAATGTGAAGCGTACTTTGCTCTAAAAAGTGATAAATCGGCTTACAACACCATGTGCTGACGTGTAGGCCTTAACCCTGCACACACTACACGATTTTCCTGCGATCCGAAATATGGAATTCTGAACAACGACTCTCCTCCCGATTTAGGTTCCAAATAATGATAAGAATATTACTGGTCTAACTTTACTACGATTCTGAGCTGATTTAGTTTTCCCCCGTCCAGGGGAGCATGACACAGATCCCCTGAAATTTTAATCATAATGCTAGTCAGCTCCTTGTTCATCAATATTTTACATTTTTAAACGTTCATATAAAATGCTATCACAAGCCCTTCCAAAATCGGATCGCATTCAGTTGGTGTAGTGTGCAGGCTTAACTGTTTATTTCATATGTAGATGTTTACCTTCAATTGTTGGCTTGCCAGTTTTCTTTTGGTTTCCTGCCGGATATTGAGCTCCACTTTCTCTCTCAGCTGAGTCCTGTCTTATCCGATTTGGAGAGCCTTTATCTGTGCCGCTCAGACCATCGTTTCGCTTTACAGAAATATCATCGTCGTCAACAATGATGGACTCGTCTTCCCCGAAGTCATCCCATGATGACGTACCACCAGCTCTGAAAAAGCAATTGATAAAACGCATAATATCCTTGACATAATGACATTGCAATTAGTGAAGAAAATATAATTGTAAGTACACTAGTTTCATGAATGACAAGGGTACAAGTTCTTTTGTTAATAATGCAAGGTGACAAGGAAGGGTTATTATGTAAGATCATTTAGATAAGAAATGAAGACAGGATTTTTCAACAAAAACAGAAGTTGAAGAGTAGAGGAAAGGAAGAAACCAAATCATGTAGAGATCAGAAGAGATAAATTCAGTCCATGAAAGGGTACAGGGTGAGATATGAATATGACATTAAGCGACTAAAAAGAAAACAGAACTAGTGAACGAGAAATGATAATAGAGAGAAGAAGATATATGATTACACTAGAAATTATGTGATTGGCAAAGAAAAGATTGAAAATAGTTCTTGGGAATTACAATGGTAAATATTTATTAACGTCAGGTTTGAAGGGAATGAAAAGCAGAAGCTTTGCTTGGTATAAACAAAATAAATGTAGGCAAAATATTCTGCTTGGCAGTATACAGAAAAGTAGAACAATGCAAATTACAATATTTTGATTTCTTATGATTTTTTTTGACATCTTCTTTATCTTCTTTATATTATAAATATATATCACACTAATAATACCCCATGTGCCACATTGTATTATTGTGGGATAAATATACAAATGGCTTAATCCAGTATCAACCACCGTTTCGAGTGCAAGATTCATCTTCACTGGCGTTACAAGGGTTGTCCAGGACCTTTTTAATACTAGAAATGGGTTATTTTGCAAAGCTATTGTATTGCACAAAGCAATAATACTGTCAATTGTTGTTATTGTTTTGTGCGAAATTGCATGTGTGGCAACCAAGCGACCGTGCTGACAGGCAAATAAGGGAACCACAGTGTTAAGGATATTGGGATATTGATTTACCTCTTTTCACGAGCGATCTTCTTCAAGGTCTTCTTCAGCTCAGCATTCTTGATGTAATATAGCGGTGTTCGACATTTGGAATTATCTAGGTTTATGGACGCTCCATTAAGAACCATGTAGCAGAGTGCAGCGGCAGCACTGTTATCAACTCCACAATCTCTAAAACGCTTGCGAATCTGGGAGAAAATACAGAGCATCAAGTCAATTAATATTTGCTCAAATATGAAATAAAGTAAGGATACCTGGAAATCTGACACTCTAGGACCCCTGGTTATTATTGGGGGAAGGAACAAGTTGCTTCAGAAAAGTTGTTTATGGAGATTCCTCCAAATTAATAGAATGAAATTATATTCACATGATCTTTTATTTAATGGCTAAATAGAGTCAGCTGGTATCGGTGAATGTATATGAACCATAGCAGTCAAACTGAATGTTTCTTTTAAACCCCTTCACTGTAATGGTGGCAGCGGTGAGATAGAAATCCTAGCAATTAAAATAACGTGTTTCTATTTATTTTTCTCTGGGATATATCTCATGGATATCATTAATCTATATATGTCTCTTCATTAAGGAAGTCATCTCACCAAAGTAAGACCATACAAGTGACTACCGGTGTCTGAAACACATCCATTAGCATTGGTTGCTCAGTCTGGAATATTCCACAGTACCAAATATCGATCCTCTTTATTCATCCTTTTATTAGGGCAAGCATCTTATGGCCACCAGAACATACTGGATGCTATCTTACATCAACGCCCAACTAAACTAACTAAATGTCATTCAAAGTATGTTTTGTTCATGAAAGCTTATGACATAAGTAATGTCATTGTCAACGTTTATATCAATAAACATGAAAAGCACCAAAACAAATTTAGACCCTTGTGTACAAATACAACAATATTTAATACCTTAATAGCTTTAGTATGTAGTACTACTTTGATATGTTTTGAGTGATAAATGCACCCGCGAATCAGAAAAATCAGAACTGATTTTATTATTTACTATATAAATCTATGTATCTACCTATTATTTGCTAGTTTATCTAAACTACGCTACCATTGAGAACTCTTTAAAACGTCACACTCGCGCATGCCCCACCCCCATACATCGCTTTTCCAGGATTCACGTGCGCATCGCACGCCCGCCATTCATCCTCTTCCACGAGCCTCCAAAGACATAGCTTGGGATATGTTGCCTGCAAGGAGAGGGGACGGAGGGAGGGACATAGGTAATTACATAGATTTATATAGTAAATAATAAAATCACTTCTGATTTTTCTGATTTACCACAATAAATCAATGTATCTACCTATTATTTGCTAGACCAGCACCCAAATGGACCTAGAAGCATGTCCGGAACAAGAAGGAAATTACCGGGGAACAATGGCAGCCGAAACCGCCCGCAGGGACGCAGTTGCAAACAACACCTCCCCAGAGGTGACGTCCCGAAGATAAAAAGACGCAAAGGAATTGGGAGACCGCCAAAACACGGCCTCCAGAATGTCATCCAAACCCACTCCCTGGAAAAATGCCCAGGAAGTACCGCTACATCTGGAATCATGGGCCCTGGCCCTGCCCTCTGCGAGCAGGGCCTCAGGACCCGCCGCCTGAATAGCGTCCACTATCTATCTGGAGATGGATTCTTGAGACGCAGAAGAAAAGGGCTCCCGCGAAATGAGGAACAACCGGTCATCCTTTCGATGGACCTTAGTTCTATCTAAGAACCACTTGAGTGCCCTGATGGGGTATTAGACCTTGTCCTCCGCAACTTAGGAGAATCCCGAAAGAGGACTTGAGGAAAATCCTCCACCGGTCCGGAGCACGCCGACTTATTCTTGGCAATGAAGGAAGGTCTGATGTGGCGGGGGAGATAGACAGCGCATGGAGCGTACTCCTCCGCTGTCCGGAAACTATTTCCATAAGGAAAACTGTTTCCACCGTCAAGCGAATAAGTGAGGCCTTAGACAAAAGCTCCGGGATAGCCGGCCGTTGCAGAAAAAGAACGCAGTAACTTAAACAAGAAATGGGAGATAATCCCCCGTGCCGTCCGAAAACCCGACTTGAGTGGCGGAGAGGGTCAACGGTAACCACGAAAAGTGGAAAGGACGTTACCCTTGTCTAACAAGTAAATCAAAAATTAGCTATGACACTTACCGAAGTCTACGAGTGAGACCCCGAGGTCTTTACACCAAATGGAGCAGGGCTCCAAACGAGAGTTGTAAAGGGTCCTCGTGGGATCCCTACGACTCTAGACTATAAACTGCGAGGCTCTCTCAGAGAGTCCAGAAGTCATAGCGTCCTCCCGACACCGGCCCGGCGGTCATAGAGAGTATGCACCGCGGGACGGTGACGGAGAATCCCCGACAGAGGCAGGGACAACTGGTCCGGACTCAGCGGGAGAGGGAACAGATGCCCGCAACAAAAGGGACAGAAAACCGAAACACTGAACTGACACAAAACGGAAACGGGAAACCCGCCGGGGAGTCCATTGCCCCAAAAATCATATACCCTCAAGGTGAGCTGGGGAATTGTGCCCAAGAGATAATTCCACCGAGAAAAAAAAGGCGGCGCATTAGCCCTCAAGGGCTGGTCAGCCGCAGGACTAGGCTTCAACGGGAACCTATCACAGATGGCAAAGCCATCTGCGAGAAGAGTCCCAGACATAGCTGTCATCTGGGAAAACCCCAAACCACAGAGGGGAAGGGCAAGTCGCGATCCAGCTACCCACTCCTCTCTTGGAGGGGTAGCAAAAGAAGCTGGACAAGAGAGCTTAGCCATCACCAACGGGCAAAAAGCCCGAGGGGGAAATGCAACCCCCTGAACAGAGCCCCTCCGATGCCGAGCTCGGCAAGACGGTCCCCAAACCAAAACGGGTACCAGCTTATATCAGACAAGCGTAACTGGGCTCCAGACAAGACAGATGGGACCAGGGTAAACCCTGTCGCTCACCAAGATGCCTCGACACCGTGCGAAGCCCAGTCTGAACGGTTGGAGAGAAGGCAGACTGCGGTCTAAAAATCACCACAGCCCTCCCCGTCTAAGTCACAGTCGGAGACTTGACATACGAAGGCTACAATAAACGCCATAAAATACCAAATACAAACTTCTTACCCATCGCGAAGCGTCGGGTGCCGAAGCTTGCTCTAGGGCCTTGCTAAAACTGGAAGGTTTAGCTAAATAAACTCAGCATGGTCACCAGTGGACCACGCCTCCCCGCATCAGAGGCTGCAAGAGCTTGGTGCGAAAGGCTTACGTGTGGTTGACAACTTAATTTCTGTCGATTGGCGAACTCAACTGAAACCCCGTTGCAGATGCCGAAGACAACCGCGAGAAAAAGCCCCAGTCAGCCCGACAGGCTAGGGGCACCAATCTCCACGGATGAGGGAAGGTACCAAAAGCTGCTACCGACTCCCTATCTGGAGGATCGTCAAGAGCAGCAGGAGCTACAGGCCCAATTCCCACCAACAGGCCGACGGCACATGGTGGAAGGCCAACAGCAGCACCAGGCAACCCGGACCTAAAAGTGTCTCGAATGCCGGAGCAGCAACACCCGCGAAAGCTGAAGGAACCCAAAGCCAGGTGTGACCAGGGCCGGCTCATTTCAGGCCGAGGTACCAAAAGGGCGGCAGCTGAGCCTCCGCCCAAACCCAAGATGCCTCTCGTGTCTCTTGGTGGCTGGTATCCCCAGTCACCAAAAGCATCACAAAGCCACAAAGCCCAACCTGCTTGAGAACACACCGACTGAAGCAACACTTAACTCAGTCTTCTCTACCTTAACTCAGTCTCCTCTACCTTGACCCAGTCGGCAGCTGGACGTCAGAACGCTTGCGCTCCTTACCCGCAGGTACGAAAGAAGAAGCGAGCATAGCGGCCATACTAGGCTTCTTAAGCCCAGAAATAGGCCCAGTGTGACCTGGACCGACTCGCTCCACTGCGCCAGAGGCTCAACAATCAAGACACAGGAGCCTCCATAAGATCGGGATATTTGCGTTTCACGAACGTGGATCAAACCACGTCGTGAGTGAAACCGGGGCCACTCCCAACAAAAAATTGGCGAGTCGTTGCATCGCAACAAAGCCCTAAGACACAGACCTTAACCCAAAAGTGGAGCTCAGTGTGATGACTTCTACATGACTGGCCGACCCTAGGGTGGCGCCCGTAAAAACTAGAAGGGGAGAAGATCACCGGAGAAGGGAAAGACCTCCTTACACACAAGATACCCGTCACCAGAATGGCAAACTCCCGTGAGCGGTATTCCCGCGGCAGAAGGGAAGCCTGGGCCGCACCTGGCAGAGCCAGTGTGAAGGCCTCCTGTAATTAAGACTCTAAGAGAATCTGCATGTCGGCTGCCAAACCACGAGGGGCTTGGGGCCGTGCTGACTAGTGACTGAGAGTCACCAACCTGACCCTCAAAATCAACTACGTGGAGAACCTGGCCCCGAGGGGGCGGGCGCAACCACGATCATTAGTCTCCTCGCTTGTCGGCGACTGAGATTGGAGGGGCAGCTTAGGCCAGGCAGAGCCGCCTGGAAAGACCAAAAAAGGAAACCAAATCAGTACGAGAACAGGATCCCGAGTATCAGGAGCAAGTAAACAGGTCTGGATACCAGAAGGGGACATCCGAAAGATCAGACACTACCCAGGAAACTGGTACCAGATTAAAACACCATGTCGGGACGGGACCGAACCCGGACAGGGTCGAACCGGACCTAGGCCCTGGACGCCCGTGTCCAAAGGCCAGACAGAGCCGACCGCGTAAAAGGCCACCAGAGGTCGGCCGAAAGGGCTGGGGACTACTACCCCGCCAGCTTCTCTCAGCAAAGAGCTTCAAGTAGTCGAGAGGCTCAGCTTGATCGATGGCAACGGAGAAGGGTCGCCTTCTAAAAGAGGCCGTACCCCTCCTTCCAGCCGTAGTCTAATGTGTGCCCAAGGCAGACATCGACTTAGAAAGAGACATGACCGAGGCATGGCCGGGACATGGCTATAATCCATGACTACCTGCGGACCGGAGCAAGAGAGCTAGCAAGAATGTACTTCTGAGTTATCAAAGCGGGACGGGGTGCGGCGGATACACTCGAGTAAACACTCGAGACTGACAGACAGTACCATGGTCGGGAGGGTCAGATAGTCTCTTACGACTCCCAATCCGTCTTTGACGGGAGGGAACCCACTCCTGAGATTCAAGGCTGCACAGGGTGCTGCGGAATCTCTCAAATAGCACACATCACTGTTTAGAGCTAAGCCAGTGATTGAAGCCCACGTGTCAATGGTCGCATACACGACCGAGTGAACCAAAAAGCAAACTGAGACACTCGGGGCTTATTATGCATAACTCTCACGGTTCTCAGACACCCATGGCGGGCGACCGTGAGTCAGATCTCCGAATCGGATATCTGGAAACCGAATCGGTAACCGGGGCTTAAGCCAACCGGTAAACCTGGGGCAGATATCAGATAACCGCCGGGTCCGGGTCCGGATACGGATATATCGGGCGGCACTGCCGAGCAGGTGACGGATATATATATATTTTGCTTGTCTCATAAGCACCCGACTGTGACGGGAGCGAGAGAGCTAGCAAGAGTGTACTCCTCAGTTATCAAGGCGGCACGGGGTGCGGCGGATTCACTCGAGTAAACACTCGAGACTGACGGACGGTGTACCCAGGACCAGAGAGTCGGACAGTCTCTTACGACTTCCAACCCGTCTGTGAGGATTTAACTTAGTCTCAAGTACTGCGGAATTGCTCAAGTTGCACGTGTCACTAGCGGCAGCAAGGCCAGTAATCGGGTTCCGAGTGTCCGTGGCCGCAATGGCGACACTCTTCCCCAGAGCATGAGTGTCAGAGGCCGCACGCCAACGACGCCCGTCTCTATTGTGCGTTGGGGGTTAATTTTCGGTAAACCGATCGCCTCCTTGCTGGGACCACGGGTCCCAACAATGGATATCATACCGGGCCCGACAGAAATCGAGTCGGCACACAGTAACTATCTTGTCCGAGAGACGGTAGTAGCGCTCCCTAGCTTACCCGCCGCCACACTGAATGAACGAGTGGTCGGCTTGTCGAACACACCTCCAGTAGCTGCACTAGCTGGGGGAGAGACACCAATACCAAGCTCTGACGTATCCATCACGAACCTGCATACAAAGAAAAAGTAAACTAAGAGAAACGCCAGACAAAAGGAGCGAGAGTGAAATAAACTCCACGCTCACTATATTTCTAGCCATAACAGTTTCAAATAAAATGTTCTATATCAAACTAAACCCAACAGCATGCACGAAAAATAAATCCAAACATTCAAGAACAGACAAAAGATCGCACCGAAGAAGCAGTGATTTGCGAAGCGTAACGAGCCAAGACGGGACGTTAATCCTAATAAGGCCGGGGGTGGCATTATGCCAACCCCCCCCCCCCCTCCACGTTTTTCCTGATTGTTCGGGAACGCATATGGATGGTGCCCCGCCTCTCCCTGACTTTTTTCTTTAGAGTCTTGCGCATCTTTTAATTATTTATTTTTGAAAATCGGACCTACAGTTACAAGGTCACGTGACCTTTTGTCTTTGCATGTCAGTCCGAAAATCGCTCAATTTTGTGATTCGTGTACAAAACATATGGAAATGTCATTTTTCCTAAAAATAGATAAAACATTGGTAATTGGGTCTTGTTTAAAGTTTAGATGGTTGTTTTGGGGGTCAATACGTAACTCTTTACTTTGGGGGATACATCTTCTCTATTATTAAACACCAGGGTTTCTACTATGAGACACTCGCACTATTTTCCCTTGGCACATACAAACGTGGACATACCTTCTTCAGAGTAGGAGTGTCTTTGACATCTTTACATGCGAAGTTTGCAAGAAGGTGCAGCGCAGTGTGATCATTCTCATCTTGAAGATTGATATTAGCACCTTGTGACACCAGAAACTCTATGCTGTGCGATTGTCCTTCGAATGCAGCCAAGTGTAGTGCTGTCAATCCTAGCACGTTCTTAGCGTTCACATCCAATCCATGATCCTTCAGTGAGCATAAAATATTCAACTTTCATTTTGTGTTCATTGTAATAGATACATCAGTTTCATCTTTATCTAAATACGAGTATGACTTAGCTATATTGGGTATCATGTAATATCTGTATTAACTGAGATCGAAAAATGGAAGAGTGTTCGACATGCTTCATCACCCATTGCCTACAGAAACTGTGAGGCCCATGTGTTAGGCCTATGGGAATTAGATAATTTAGTAGTCATCATGTTAAAATAAGAGATAAACATTGCACAAAGTGTCTCTTGTATCGATAGCCTACATGACATGTACATGTACTAGCTTGTACTAGACAAATACAGTTGACTTTCAGGTACATCTATCTTTACACATTCACCATACCAAAACAACTACAGATAATCAACTGGTGTACCCCCTCCCACGCCCCCTCCCACGCCCCCTCCCACGGTAGAGAGCTTTTTCAATTTTCGACTTGAAAATGTGAAATCTGGTGCCCATTAGTGACTATAAAAACACATGCCCTCTTGGCTATTTGGAAATGTGTCAGTTTGCAACAGAAATGAAGAAACGCGCATTTTGTTAAAAATCATTTGATCACGAAAATTTATTAATCACTTGTATGCATGGGTGTCGATCCGTAACTGATACCTATTCATCAGGGGGGGATGATCTATTCATTCATCCCCCCCTGATGAATAGGTATTACGTAAGTATCGACACCCATGCTTGTATGGAATTGAAAATAAGTCATGGTTTAATGGTTTAATTCGATTGGGGGGGGGGGCAAGCGCCCCCCACCAATACGCCAGTGGTAGTGACTATGCTGAGACGGTTACCAAAAAAGCAACAGAAATGTTAAATTCAATATTACCACCAATAATTGTGTCTTTTGCATTCCAGATGTGCCTCTAAGTGACTTAAATTTTTGTTAGAGTACTTGAGAGTCCAAGTAAATTACCTTTACAGCCATAACAACCTTCATGACTTCTACATGGTTATTGACTGCACCGATATGCAGTATGGTGTCACGGTTTTTCGTTTCAACAACAATAGATCCAGGAAAACTCTGTGCAATTAATTCAGCAGGTCTAAAATGTAAAATGAAAGAAAATATTAATATCTAAGATGAGACAGGACATTTTTATAATTATGAATTGAAGTTGATGGTTGTAATGCCTTTTCTAACGATCCTTGCTAAACATGTACATGAGTGATCACACCTTTCCCCGGACCCCTTGCATGTAAATCAAGATAATTTGTCAAATTGATTTGCCTCCTTTCAAAAAATGTAGCCTATACACCAGTCAATTTTTTATAATAATAACTGAATTTATACATTTTCCTTCAGTACCTGACCTGAAAGATCTAATATACCTCATCTTAACCCTAAACTTTACCTTTATCTTTTTGACAAAGTAAAGACCAGGAAAAATGTCCCCAGAGCGTAGCAAGCTCAAAACAAATCAAAACCTTACTCTAAGTCACATCACAACCCTGGCTTGAGTGACACAATGGAATTTGCCTCAATCGGAACAAGCATAAAGGATACTTAACAATGGTGTCATATCATACTCAAAGTTGAAACCCGTGATCATTACCAACATTACAAATAGCCCTCCATTTTCATACATTAAAGAACTTTTTTCCAGACACTTTTATGACCCCCTTTTTGCTTATAAAAGTTAGAAATGGATTACCAATTTACAAAAAGTACCTTATTTTTCATTTACAAACGTATTCATATGCTTGCAAACATTGTAAAAATATCAACCCCTTTTCATAAAATATTTTGCTTTTTCCAAAAACATTTTTACACCCCTGAAAACCACCCCTTTTATGCATGACATTTCTAATGGTCATTCGTACAAATTTAAGGTCAGTATGAGGCGATACCACCAAGGGAGTACTTACCCTGGTTTGTCTAGGGCAGCTGCAAACTGTAGAGCTGTCCATTCTCTCTTGTTAGTCACAGTCACATCAAGGTCTGGAACTTCCAGCAATAGTTCGATGACATCTACCCTGTTCTTGATTACAGAGTCGTGAAGGGGAGTGTCTTTCTCTGTATCCTTATATCAAATCAATGGAAATTGTGTAGCATTAATGTCATATTTCCGATTCTTCTATGTTCGTAATTGATTGCATTGTACGATAGGCATTCCATTCAACTGCAATACCATGAGTAGTAAAGACTTTCAGTGACCTATCACCAAAATAAATGAATTCATGGACGTAATAATTTTACTCTTAAGAGAATTGATTTCATGATCAGGAGCCCTCAACTGGCTCCTCAACATGTTCAACGATTGCTTGAGCACCAACACCATCCCAAAGCTCCGGCTTATCCTCAACCGCATCGCCCCATTCATGGACATACATCGCATCCCGGAACAAGCATGGTTTTAGCATTGGCCAACGCCTAAACCTCACCCAATAAGCTAATCTCCGGAACTGCTTTCGTTGACCTCTCTGCTGCCTACGACACCGTGAACAACAGAATCCTCACCAGGAAGATATTTGAGCTGACAAAGGATGTGAGACTGACTGGACTCATCCAGACGTTGCTGTCCAATGTTGTCCTCGTTGGTAATCGCAGCAGATCACGCAGACAGAAAAATGGCCTACCACAAGGAAGTGTGCTTGCACCACTGCTCTTTAACGTGTACCCAAATGACCAACCGATCCAACCAAGCACCAGGAGCTTCATCTACGCTGATGATCTGTGCATCGCCACCCAGAACCAGTCTTTTGTGAAGTTGGAGGAGTCCCTCAGTGATGCCCTGGCCGGACTCGTCCCATATCACGCGACCAACCACCTGAGAGCTAACCCTGACAGAATTCAGATAAGTGCATTCCACCTCAGGAACAGGTATGCCAACCATCAACTAAGGATCACCTGGTATGGGAAAGGCTGAAGCACACACACAAACCAGTCTACCTAGGCGTCACACTGGATCACCCCCTTACTTACAAGAACCACATTGCCAACACAAAGGCAAAATTTGGAGCCTGCAATAACATCCTCAAGAATTCTATTCAATTCAATTCAAGTTAATTTCCACAATCTGATAAAAGTACAAAACAATCAAAAGACAAACAAGAACACAACATAAATATAACATAACAGATAATGATGGGATCGACAATAGGCCTACAGGCCTTTCTATGGTTTATCCCTTAAGTATATACATTAAAGTCAAATTTAACAAAAACATGAACTAAATAACTAACAATACAACACCAGCGACTACAAGTACAAAACAATAAAGGGTGGGGAAGGAATGGGAGAGGAAGGGAGAAGGCAAATCAACATATATTTAAAGATGATTTTTATATGTTCGTTTAGAAACTGAAAAACTGTTGGTACATTTCGAGGTATTCGAGAGATTATTCCACATGATCGGCCCTGAGTATTAGAGACATTAATTTATAATTAGGAACATGCAAATTATTGTTGTCTTGTATTGTACATATATTTTTTCTTTATGAAACTGTAGTGACTTGACCTTAGGAGAATTTTGCATTTGTATATATTATTGTCTTGTCTTTATTGTTTGTTTGTTTGCTTTTATTTCTGCGTTCAAAATAATACAATACATAATATAAAATGTGTTTACAAAGATAATATACAAAACAATTCATAAGATAAACAATATAGTCATGATACATAATGAATACAAAATAAGGAAGTGAGCTTAAACTTTTTTTTATAGATATATATCCATATATACGCACATATACATACATATACATACATATATATATATATATACATATGCATAGCACATGCATACATACATACACACACATATACACCTATACATACTCTCACATATAATATAATATAATACAACACATATAATATAATATATAATCCAATCAATGAACGCAGGAGACCGCCATCGTGAGCGGTAAGGCTTGAAATTGATGGCGGCCTCATAAAAAGATTCGTGACTGAAATTGATATTTACTGATCAAGTGGGTGCATTGCAGGTGCAGGTGCTGGTGCTGTATGTAGCAGTTGAGTAAAATGAGGATATTGAATGACGAATGTGAATATTTATGTGAATATATTAATTTGGAGTATGGGATTCGTAAGATTGAATGATAGGTTTTTTTTGAGTGGCTTTGAAGGAGTATATGGTCGAACAAGATTTAATATTGTCTGAAAGATTATTCCAGATGTCTGGACCATGATGACGAATTGATTTAGAGGCAATTAACAGTCTTGGGTTTGTGAGATGAAAGTTTCCGGATATGCGAGTTGGGTAGGTAAGGACAGAGCTATTGAACTTAAACATGTCATCAAAAGACGAAGGGAGCAGATTATTAATATACTTAAACATAATGATAGCTATTTGAATAGTATGTAGGTCGGCAATTTTAGTGCTTTTTGTTTAAAAAATAAAGGATCGGTGTGGGCCAAGTAATGCGATCCTGTACAAATGCGAATTGCTCTCTTTTGTAGTTTAAAAATAGGAGTCAGCTATGTAGAACCACAACTAGCCCAAACAACGTTACAGTAGGTTATATATGGGAGTACTAACGAATTATACAATAAAAATAAAGTTTTATGAGGTAAAATAAATCTTAACTTGGAAATTATTCCAATACTTTTTGAGATACTTATTATGATATGGTGCAGATGTTCATTCCAAGATAAAGTTTGATCTATGATAACACCTAAAAATCTAGAGTGAGTTTTCTGCTCTAATGGCATGCCGTCAATCTGTAAGTGAATTGGAGTATCAGTAATATGAGAATGGTGTTTAAAATAGATGAAGTGGGTCTTTTTTGTGTTCAAAGATAGTTTGTTAGCTTTAAACCATTGTGATACTTTGTTTATTTCATGATTTAATATGTTGTTTAAAGGTAATACAAAGTTTTGGTATGGAGTCATGAATTTGGTTCAAATGAACATATTGGAAGCATATACGATCCTACAATACTCAGTGATCGTTGTCGCGGTCGAAATCGACTCTAAAGTTATGAAATTGTAAATAATAAACAATTATGTTGAATAGCTCCCTCTCCAGGTCAAGATATTAATTAAGCTATAAAACAATGTTTAATGACTAAAATCGACCAATTAGCTATTCTCGTTCGGAAATTATATACCACAACTACTTACTCTGAGATTTTCATGGTCGCAGCTACCATTAGACGGCCGTAGGAGCTATTTGAAATTTATCAAAATTTACCGGGAGCACCGGTAAATCTTTATATTAAATTTTTCTCCAATTGCAGAAGTGTTTAAGGGGCTACAATTTCTGGTGTTTTTAATACATCCACAGGGGCATCCAAATATATCAAAATTGTAAAGAATCACTATCCACCCATTTTTCAAAATTTCCCAAAACTTTGTAATACCTTTAAGGAAGTGAGATTTTTATGAGAAAAAAAGATATTTGTGTCGTCAGCGAATAATACAAAAGATAAAATGGAGGATGTATTAATAATGTCATTGACATATAGCAGAAATAACAGTGGGCCTAGAATGGAGCCTTGAGGGACACCACATTCAACTAAAAGTGAATCAGAGTCATAACCATTAAATGTGACATATTGTCTTCGATTTCTTAAATAATCTTTAAACCAAAGGAGTGATTGACCTCGTATACCATAATAATTAAGTTTTGAAAGTAAAATATCGTAATTAAGTGTATCGAATGCCGTACTGAGGTCACAAAATATACCAATGACATGTTCTTTGTTAGCTATGGCGTTTGTAATTTTATCATAAATTTGGATTAAAGCCACGTTTGTTGAGTAATTTTTTCTGAAGCCATATTGATTAGAAGTTAGCAAATTGTGTTTGTTGATAAATTCATAGAGTCTATTGTATACTATTTTTTCAAAAACTTTGGATATACTTGGGAGTAGAGATATGGGGCGATAATTCCTAATTTCATGAGGATTGTCTTTTTTGAAAATTGGATTGATTTTGGCGATTTTGAATAAGTCCGGAAAAACACCATGTGATAATGATTTATTGAAAATGTGACTAAGAGGGTTAGCAACTGGGTGGATTATTTCTTTTAAAAGAGACACACTAATTCTATCATGCCCGTGAGATTTGGAGTTGTTAAGAGAACGTGTAATATTGATAATTTCGATGGGGTTCGTGGGGCTCAAGAACAGAGAATGTTGATTAGGTTGGGGGAGATCATCCGTGAAATGCGCATTTCGGCTATTAATCTTGCTTGCAAGTTCGGGTCCGATGTTTGTAAAAAAATGAATTAAATGAGTTTGCATGAAGGGAAGAGTCAACTTTAGAACCATTTAAAGTCATATCATCAGTAGGTGGGGGATTTGCCTTAGTTCCCATTACCTCTTTGATGATTTTCCATGTTGCATTAGTATTTGAACTGACATCCTTTATTCTATTAGCATAATACATTTTACGTGATATACGAATTAATTTTGTCAACTTGTTGCGATATAACTTGTATGTTTTTAAATTGGCTTCAGTAGGATTGTGTAAATGTGATTTGTAAAGGCGATTACGTGTCTGTATTGATTTCAATAAACTTTTTGTTATCCAAGGATGTTTGGGGGGTTTTCTATTATTTTTTACTTTACCTACGGGAATATTTTTTTCATAACAATGTTGTAATTTATTATTCAAGAGATTATATGATATGTTCGCGTCAGCTTCTTTGTATACATCCTCCCACCCCTCAATTAATAAATCTTGCTTCATTAATTCATTAATTCATTAATCGTGTGGCTTGAAGTCTAGCCTTTTATTCCATTGTCACTCATTTCTTTAGTGACACCTGTTACATTACTAGAATGCCACACATACTTATTCTGGCAAGCACATTCCACACCCTATGGTTTGGGATGTGCAACCACCTAGTGGTATAGCTTATACAGGCACATTACACTTGCTTGCTTTATTTTCATCACTTCTCCTGAGCTGTTCATATAGAGCACAGTATTCTAGAGAGTCTTGAGTCGATCTACAGAAAAGCTAATTCAGCTTCATCTTAATTCTTGTCCTATTTCTTCGCTTGTTTCTCTACTCGGTTCTGAGGCCTTATTACTTTATAGAGATTATAAGTTTCTTCTTCCTTACTTAATTCGCAAAGAAGCGTCATTACTTTGTACATGGTCTTACATATTCTTTCTACGGGTGCTGTGCAATATTTGAACTACTACTTGTGATATGTTCCAAGTATCTGTACTCAACAGGTGTTTCTACGAGACAAGGTAGGAAAGAAATCTATTTCTATTTATTTTATTTAGGTGATTAAATTATCTAAAAAACTATTCTCTAGAACATTTCGGCGAGGTGTTAATACACTGTCGCTCATATAGATGGAATATTTTAGTTTTACCCCAATTTATGGAATTATTTTGACAATGATTTATTCCTAATAGATCTAGATAAAAGTATACATTCTCAGATTTTATTGAATAATAATTTGCCAGTGTTTGTTTGCGTGACTGCTAAAGCAAGCTGTTGACACTTTGAATGTTGATTCGTCAGAACAAGGTGTAAACTCTTAACCGGGCAATCCAGTATCGCCTAATCTAAAATAAAATTTTAAACTTTCTCTTGTTACCGAAGAAGAGGTATTAAACGAATAAAGGAAATTCCCAAATAAAAAATCGGTTGGAGTAGATGGTATTTCTCAATTTATTCTTAAGTTAGCTGCTGATGAAATTATAAAACCAATAACATATTTGATAAATAAATCAATCAGAGATGGGGTTATGCCTGACGTATGGAAAATAGTACGAATTATACCGTTGCATAAGAAGGGTGACAAGTATAACCCAGATAATTATAAGCCCATTTCGTTATTGCCATGCATCTCAAAGCTTCTTGAAAGAATGGTACAAAAACAACTCATTCAACATTATATCTGCTCACTAATCTGGTTTCAGAAAGAAACATTCAACGTGT